GGAATGAAGAACATCAAAGACACAAGGAAAGTATTAGCCCAAGAGACAGGGCCACATAGACCAGAGACTTCATCAGCCTGAGACCAGAAGAACTGGTTGGTGCCCGGCTACCACCAATGACCGCCCTGACCAGGAACACAGCAGAGAGTTCCTGATGGAGCAGGGGAAGGGTGGGATGCAGAACTGAAATTCTGGTAAAAACACCAGACTTAATGCTATGACTGAGACTGGAGGAACCCCAGAGAGCATGACCTCCAGACTCTCTGTCAACCCAGAACAAAAACAGTTCCCAAGGCCAACTCTTCAGACAAAAGATTGGACTGGACTGTGGGACATGAAATGATACTTGTGAAGAGTGTGCTTCTTAGCTCAGGAAGATACATGAGACTAAATGGGCAGCTTCTGTCCGGAGGTGAGATGAGAAGGCAGAGAGGGTTAGGAGCTGTTTGAATGGACACGGGAAATCCTGGGCGGAAAGGAGGAGTGTGCTGTCATAGTATAGGGAGAGCAATTAGGGTCACACGACAATGTATGTATAAATTTTTGTATGAGAGACTAACTTGAATTGTAAACTTTCACTAAAACAACAATAAAAAAATTGTTTTAGCACTTTTTTAAAAAAAATTGTGCTTTAGGTGAAAGTTTACAGCTCAAGTTAGTTTCTCATACAAACATTTATATGCACATTGTTATGTGACCCTAGTTCCTATCCCTATAATGTGACAGCATACTCCTCCTTTCTGCCCCGAATTTCCCATGTCCATTCAACCAACTCCTATACCTTTCTGCCTTCTCATCTCGCTTCCGGACAGGAGCTGCCCATTTAGTCTTGAGTATTTACTTGAACTAAGAAACACATTCTTCACAAGTATCATTTTATGTTTCATAGTACAGTCTATTCTTTGTCAGAGTTGGTCTGGGGAGTGGTTTTAGTTCTGGGTTAACAGAGAGTCCAGGGACCATGTCTTCTGAGATTCCTCTGGTCTCAGTCAGACCATTAAGCCTGGTCTTTTTACTAGAATGTGAGTTCTGTACCCCACTTTTCTCCTGCTGCATCAGGGACTCTCTGTTGTGTTCACTGTCAGGGCGGTCATTGTGGTAGCCAGGCAGCATCTACTGCTTCAGGGCTCAGGCTGATGGAGTCTCTGGTTTATGTGGCCCTTTCTGTCTCTTGAGCTAATACTTTCCTTGTGTCTTTGGTGTTCTTCCTTCTCCTTTACTCCAGGTGGGCTGGGACCAATTGATGTATCTTAGACAGCTGCTCACTAGCTTTTAAGACCCCAGACACCACTCGCCAAAGTGTGATGCAGAACATTTTCTTAAAAAACTTTGTTATGTCAGTTGACCTAGATGTCCCCTGAAACCATGGTCCCCAGACCTCCGCCCCTGCTACTCTGTCCCTGGAAGTATTTGGTTGCATTCAGGAAACTTCTTAGCTTTGGTTTAGTCCAGTTGTGCTGACTTCTCCTGTAGCGTGTGCTGTCCTTCCCTTCACCTAAGATAATTCTTGACTACTTTCTAGTTAGTGAATGCCCCTCTCCCTCCCTCCCCACCCTCGTAACCATCAAAGAATGTTTTCTTCTGTGTTTAAACCTTTTCTTGAATTCTTATAATTGTGGTCTGATACAATATTTGTCCTTTTGCGATTCACTAATTTCACTCAGATAATGCCTTCCAGATTCATCCATGTTATGAGATGTTTCGCGGATTCATCATTGTTCTTTATCATTGTGTGGTATTCCATTGTGTATCTATAACCATAATTTGTTTATCCATTCATCTGTTGATGCGCACCTAGGTTGTTTCCATCATTTTGCTATTGTAAACAGGTTTTAGCACTTTTTTCCCCATAAATCAACATGAGAAGGAATGATGATTGTATTAACACCACCATCACAAATGTCCTGTAACCTTGTATACTTCATACAAGAAATAGCTAAACTTCTGAATTGGGTGGTATGAGGACATGGCTTATTTTGGTGCTAAGCTCTGTTTCTTGTTTTTTGCTTGATAAAGAGACCTTATTGATACCATGTTAGGGTTTTTTTCTTTCCATGACACTGTAGAATTAGAAGGGATTTTGTACACATGAGATTTTAAAATAAGTCATTTCATCCTATCACCCCAGTTTGAGAACTTGAAATAGCATCTTGTTACCCACTTACTGGGTCCTTCTGCCTGGCTTTCAGGATCCTCTAAACTTGCCCTTCTACCTGACCAGCTTTGCTTTCCCGTCGTGGATGCTCAGCTTCTGTGATACACAGTGAGGTATCTGATGTCTTGCTTTTTCCTGGCTCCATTCTGTCCCCTCTTCACCTGCTTAAATGGAGTCCTTCAAAGCCCAGGCAGTATCAGTCTCACTTGCACTGCTAATTCTCCTCTGACTGCTTCGTTGATTTCTCCTTGCCCTTAATATCTTTTGCACTTGTCAGTACCAAGTATTTTAGTGCTTAACCGAATTGATGCATGTAAAATACCAAACAAAACAAAACAAACACCCCAAAAAACTGACTTCTTCATACGTAGTAAAAGGACACAGTATTTTTAGGTTTACTATAACATCCCTGGGTAGGGGAGATTTATTTTATTTTATTGTTGTGCTTTAAGCGAAAGTTTAGAATTCAAGTTAGTCTCTCATGCAAAAATTTATATATACATTGTTATGTGACCCTAATTGCTTTCCTTATACTGTGACAGCACACTCCTCCTTTCCACCCCTGATTTCCCGTGTCCATTCAACCAGCTCCTGACCCTCTCTGCCTTCTCATCTCACCTCCGGACAGGAGCTGCCCATTTAGTCTCATGTATCTACTTGAGCTAAGAAGCACACTCTTCACGAGTATTGTTCATGTCCCATAGTCCAGTCTAATCTTTGTCTGAAGAGTTAGCCTCGGGAATGGTTTTAGTTCTGGGTTGAGTCCAGGGGCTGTGCTTTCTGGGGTTCCTGCAGTCTCAGTCAGACCATTAAGTCTAGTCTTTTTATTAGAATTTGAGTTCTGCACCTCACTTTTCTCCTGCTCCATCAGGGACTCTCTGTTGTGTTCCCTGTCAGGGTGGTCATTGGTGGTAGCCAGGCACCATCTAGTTCTTCAGGTTTCAGGCTGATGAAGTCTCTGGTTTATGTGGCCCTTTCTGTCTCTTGGGCTAAAACGTTCCTTGTGTCTTTGGTGTTCTTCATTCTCCTTTATTCCAGGTAGGTTGGACCAATTGATGCATCTTAGATGGCTGCTGACTAGGTTTTAAGACCCCAGATACCACTCACCACAGTGGGATGCAGAACATTTTCTTAATAAACTTTGTTATGCCAGTTGACCTAGATGTCCCTGGGTAGGGGAGATTTAGGAAGCAAATTGGGATTTGTGAATTTTGCTTTTTATTAAGGAAAAATTCTCTCTCCAGATGAAATTACACTCATACAGCCTTTGCCTTTAAAGAGAATTTCTGTCTACCATTAGGACTACGAAACCTACCTCATTATTCTTAGTCTCCTTTAATTTAGGAATCTTAAACACTAGTATTTGTTTTTGACATACTGGAGGATTTCTGCTGTTTTTAGAGTCTAATAGAGTAATTAAAGAGATTTTGTAAGACATGAGTTGTTTTTGACATCATTAAAGGGCTCTTTCAATACCAAACCAAACCCATTGCTGTCTGGTCGGTTCTGACTCACAGCAACCCTATAGGAAAGAGCAGAACTGCCCCATAAGGTTTCCATGAAGCAGCTGGTGAATTCAAACTGCCAACCTTTTGGTTAGTAGCTGAATGCTTAACCACTGCGCCAGACCCTTAATAGTAACCCTTATTATTTCAGACTTGATAGAGGCATTTTGTACAGCACAGAAATCCTACTGCCATGTTTAAATATAACAGAATGATGAGGGGATTTATAAGTTTGGTTAAATCTCAAAAAAGAGGGCAAAAAGCATTAAATACTCCAGATTCTAAGGATGATTGCTAGCAGCTTTGGGGATGGAGTTGTTATCTTCCCACTTCCAGAACCTGTCCTACCACTATCAACCCCACTTTAAACAACTGGCTAAGTGGACATTCAGCTGGGCGACAGATTGCCTGTTTCTTCTTCATGGTGTCACCTGCAGTCCGTTTGTTTCCCTGGGTTCAGGTAGAAAAAGCAACTCACCCTCCATGTGCATCCCCTCCCAAGGCCAGCCACCATCAAGCACTCTGTCCTTTCCCCAATCTTCTTCATATATCAGTTGGTGGTTGGGACAGGGAGGCTAACTTTGATGTTTCTTAGCAAGTCATGAGAGAAGATAGCTCATGCTTGTTTGCTAGATGCTTTCTGTAGAACGGTGGTTTGTCAACCTTGTCTACATATTAGAATGATCTAGAAAGCCGATACTTGTGTTGTACCCTAAACCAGTTAAATTAAATCTCTTCATGTGGAAGGGACTCAAGCATCAGTAGCTCTTAAAACTCTCCAAGTAATTCCAGTAAGCGGCCAGGGTTGAGATTCACTGCTGTATAATATGGGGTTCCTTGAGACCATTTATTTCTCAGGTTTGGGTCTTAGCAACAATTCTGTGAAAACAGAAAATACCTTACTATCTTACTAAATAAACAAAAACAAGATTGTCATTTAATCTGTTTTCTAGCAGAATATTCTATCTGCCTTTAAGTGAAGGATCAAGATTATACGTGGACTTTTTCTGAATGGTAAAATTTCTAGTCAGATGATAACTCTAGTATTTTTCATTTGCCACCTTCAAAGCTGCATTTTATTGTCATGCAGTAAATAAATTCTATCTCGGCAAGAGAATCTGACTGAAGCAATATCACTGGGATGGGCTAATAGACACCCAAAGAGACACGGAAATTCCCGTAAAGCCCATACAACAAACAGTCTCGTTCTAGCAGTTCACTCTGTGATCATGTTCTTAAAACTAATGGGTTGTAAGAATCCAACTATTTCCATGCAATATGAGTGTGCTTTTTAAAGATATCATTTCATTGGCTTTCTCATTTCATTGGTTTTCTCCCAGCTCTCAAGAAATGGCTGCCCAATGTGTCACGAAGGTGGAGCTGAATATTTCCTGTGACAATCTTCTGGATACGGATGTAGTGTCAAAGTCAGACCCTTTATGCGTGTTATTTTTGAATACGAGTGGTCAGCAATGGTATGAGGTAATATAAAATATTCTACATGAAAATAATCTGAATTGCTCTTTGACAATGTAAGGAGTTTATTAAAAATGAAACCATCTTATATGTTAATGTACTTTTTGGGACAAGTTTGTTCTTGATTGTGGAATTTTCATATGTATGTAGAAACTTCCTTTAGCTCTCACGCCTACATTTAGATGTGTTCAGAATGTAAAGATTAAATTCCAAGTGCACTTTGATCTGAAGAAACTTTTTTTTTTGGGGGGGGGATGTGTGTATAGGTTGAACGCACAGAGAAGATTAACAATTGCTTGAGTCCCAAATTTTCCAAGACATTTATTATTGATTACTACTTTGAAGTGGTTCAGAAATTGAAATTTGGGATTTATGACATCGACAACAAAACTATTGAACTGAGCGATGATGACTTCTTAGGAGAATTTGAGTGTACCCTGGGACAGGTGAGTATAAATAGCTGCTATATTCTATTTTGTCTAAATTGTAACCAAAGGATTGGGTGTTTTTAATAAGTGGTCATTAGTTTAATTTTTTTATCCATGTTTAACTTTTTATTTTGAAAAATTTAATATTTCTAAAAATGTTGCAAAAATAGTACAAAGCACTTCTGTGTATCTTTCACCCAGAATCCTCAAAGGTTAACATTTAACATAATTATAGTACAATTATCAAAATCAGGAAAATAATATTGATAGAATACTATTAACTAATCTACAGATCTTATTCAAATTTCCCTAATTGTCCTGTTAATGTCTTTTTTTGAGTCCAGGATTTAATCCAGGATCCCACATTGCATTTAGTTGTCATGTCTTCTTAGTGTCCTCCAATCTGAGGCAGGTCCTCAGAATTTGTCTTTCATGACCTAGATGCTTTTGAAGAGTAAAAAAACCAAACCCATTGCTGTCGAGTCAATTCCAACTCATAGCAACACTATAGGACAGGGTAGAACTGCCACATAGAGTTTCTAAGGGGCGCCTGGTGGATTCGAACTGCCGACCTTTTGGTTAGCAGCTGTAGCTCTTAACCACTACACCAGCAGGGTTTCCTTTTGAAGAGTACTGACCAGTTATTTTGTAGACTGTCTCTCATCTTCGTTTTGTCTGATGTTTCCTCATATTTAAATTCAGGTTATGTATTGCAGCTATATTTTGTTTTGTTGTTATTGTTGAGAATATACACAGCAAAACATTCACGAATTCATCAGTTACTACATGTACAATTTAGTGACATTGATTACATTCTTTGAGCTATGAAACCATTCTTACCCTCCTTTTCTGAGATGTTCCTTCCCCATTAACATAAACTAACTGCCCCCTAAGATTCCTATCTAATCTTGTGAGTTGCTCTTGTCAATCTGATCCCATATAGATAGATCTTAAAAGAGCGTAATGCCCAAGGCAGACGTTTTTTACTAGTTAAGCTAAAGTGTTATTTGGTTTTAAGAAGGCTTCAGGGGCTATTGTGGGTTTAAGGTTTTTTATTTTTTCCCATACAAAAATTTATACATACATTGTTAGGTGACTAATTGCTCTCCACATACTGTGACAGCACACTCCTCTTTTCTACCCCTGATTCCCCATGTCCCTTCAACCAGTTCCTAACCCTCTCTGCCTTCCCATCTCACTTCCGGACAGAAGCTGCCCATTCAGTCTCTTGTATCTACTTGAGCTAAGAGGCACACTCCTCACAAGTATCACTTTATGTCCCACAGTCCAGTCCAATCCCTGTCTGAAGAGTTGGCCTCAGAAATTGTTTTAGTTCTGGGCTGATAGAGAATCCGGGGGCCATGCTTTCCAGGGTTCCTCAAGTCTCAGTCAGACCACTAAGTCTGGCCTTCTTACTAGAATTTGAGTTCTGCACCCACCTTTCTCCTGCTCCATCCGGGACTCTCTGTTGTGTTCCCTGTCAGGGCGGTCATTGGTGGTAGCCAGGCACCACCTAGTTCTTCTGGTCTCAGGCTGATGAAGTCTGTGTTTTCTGTGGCCCTTTCTGTCTCTCGGGCTAATACTTTCCTTGTGTCCATGGTGTTCTTCATTCTCCTTTACTCCAGGTGGGTTGGGACCAATGGATGCATTTTAAATGGCCACTTGCTAGCTTTTAAGGCCCCGGATGCCACTCACTAATGTGGAATGCAGAACATTTTCTTAAAAAACTTTTTTGTGCCCATTGACCTGGATGTCCCCTGAAACCATGGTCCCCAGGCCCCCCCGCCCCTACTGCTCTGTCCCTCAGAGTGTTTGGTTGTATTCAGGAAACTTCCTAGCTTTGTTTAGTCCAGTTGTGTTGACTTTCCCTGTAGATATCATGCAACTTTTGCCAGTTCAACTTTTTACAGTTGTGCAACTTAACTGACAGCATGTAAAAATGGTGTGGCAGAGGCGTCTGACCTCTAAATTCACAAGGGGGAGGGAGAATCAAGATCAACAGCCCAAGGCTGATTCCTATGAGGCGGAGGTCAGACATGCCTCCTCTCTCCACCATCTTTACCAATTCTGATACCAACCGTCTCTCCCACGACACTCTCTACTGAGTTTGATAATTCATTGCAGTGGCCATATAGAACTCACAGACAATACTCACGATTATGGGGTTTATTAGGGAAGTAACAGATTGCAATTTAGGTGTAGGAACTCTCAGTATACAGTTCTTCAATCAGGACAGCCTCTAGGGCTGTATCTGCAGCAGGCCTCTTTCTGGCCCCTTGGCTTCTGCCCTGCTCTTTTAGCTCTGCCAATAAGTGCCTGGAGACACCCCACTCTACCAGTAAGCCTAGCTCCACCAAGTGCCCAGAGACACTCTACTCGGCCAGAAAGCCTCCTGCCCAAGGGTACTCAGCTTTCTCGCCCCGTGGGCCAGGAAGCCCACTGCGCTGTCTCCTGCTGGTCTCTTCTGCTGTTATTTCTCTGCCACTGCTTCTTGCCCTCTTCAGTGTTACAGCTCTCTCTCTATCAGTCTCCTGGTTCCAGGAGCTTTTCAGCGCAGGGATTCTGGGTCCAGAGAACGTGTTCTGCTCCTGACTCTTCTTTCTTGGTGGTAGTAAGGTCTTTTCTTCCCTCCTCTTGATTGGCTAATTTTATGCTTAGCAGGATGGCAAAACTGACTAGTCCTTTCTTTAGGGTTCCATATACCTTATTTGCATAGTCCCGCTCAGTCATTGTATGTGAGGCACAGAGACCATGACTAGAAGGGCCATATTACATATTCATCGCACCGCACAGTAATTACAGTAATTGGATGTGCAACCCTACCCTTAATCAATTTGAATTTTCTGTCACTGTTAATCCCCTTTTCCCCCCTCCCTCTCGCCCCTGGTGACCATTAATAAACTTCGGTCTCTATACATTTGACTTCTCTTGTCTTTTTATAAAGTGAGGTCATACAATATTTATCCTTTTGTGATTGGCTTATTCCGCTCAGCATAATGTCTTCAAGCTCCATCCATACTGTAGCATGTATCAAGACCTCATTTCTCCTACTGGCTGAGTGGTATTCCATCCATTGTATGTATGTACCACATTTTGTTTGTTCATCTGTTAATGAGCATTTAGGTTGTTTCTACCTTTTGGCTGTTGTAATTAGTGCTGCAGTGAACGTTAGTGTTTAAGTCTCTTTTTGAGACTCTACTTTCAAATCATTTAGATATGTACCTAGAAGTGGAATTGCTGGGTCACATGGTAGTTCTGTTTTTAGTTTTTTAAGGAACCACCACGCTGTTTCCACAATGGCTGTACCGTTTTGCATTCTCAGCAGCAGTGGGTAAGGGTTCCAGTTTCCCCACATCCTCACCAACATTTGTTGTTTTCTGTTTTTTTTTTTATCTTAGCCATCCTAGTGGGAGTGAAATGATATCTCATTGTGGTTTTGATTTGCATCTCTCTGATGGCTGTTCACGCTGAGCATCTTTTCATGTGTTTGGTGGCCATTTGACTGTCCTCTTTAGTGACATCACTATTCAAGTCCTTTGCTCATTTTATGATTGACTTATTTGTCTTTTGTTGTTAAGTTGTTGAAGTTTTATATATATTTCGGTCATTAGATTCTTGTTGGATATATGGTTTCCGAATATTCTCTCAGTTGGTAGCTTGTCTTTTCACTTTTTTGGTAAAGTCCTTAGATGAACAAAAGTTTTTACTTTTCTTGAGGTCCGTTTATTTTGTCTTGCTGTTTGTGCTTTTGTTATTATATTAGATAATCCATTGTTGAAAACTAGGCCTGACAGCATTGCCCCTGCTTGTTCTTCTAAGAAGTTTATGGTTTTAGTTTATATTTTTAGGTCTGTAATCCATTTTGAATTTGTTTTTGTGATGGTGTGAGAGATGGATCCTGTTTCATTTTTCTGAAAATCCAATTTTCCCAGCACCATTTATTGAAGACACTCTTCTTTCCCCATTGAATGGACTTAGGACCCATGTCAAAAATCAGTTGACCGTAGATGTGTGGGTTTATTTCTGCACACTCGATTCTATTTCATTGGCCTCCGTGTCTATTGGTATACCAGTGACAGGCTGTTTTGATTACTGTAGCTGTATAGTATGTTTTAAAATCAGGAAGTGTGAGTCCCCCTACTTTGTTCTTCTCTTTCAGCATTGTTTTAGCTATTTGGGGCCTCTTGCCATTCCATATAAAGTTGAGGATTTGTTTTTCTATTTCTGTAAAGAAGGCTGTTGTAATTTTGATCGGGATTGCATTGGTTCTTTAGATCACTTTGGGAAGTATTGATATCTTAACAATATTAAGTTTTCCAATCCATGAACATGGAACATCTTTTCATTTATTTAAGTCTTCTTTAATCTCTTTCAGCAGTTTTATAGTTTTCATTATGTGAGTCCTTCACATCCTTGGTTAGATTTATTCCTAGGTATTTTATTCTCTTAGATGCTATTGTGAATGGAATTGTTGCTCTGATTTCCCTTTCAGATTTCTCATTGCTGGTGTATAGAAACCCATGTAATTTTTGTTTGTTGACCTTGTACCCTGCAACTATGCTTAATTCCTCTATTAGCTCTACGCATTTTGGGATTTTCTGTATATAGGACTGTATATCTGCAAATAGAGATAATTCTACTTCTTCTTTTCCAATCTGGATACCTTTTCTTTCTTTTTTTTTTTTTTTGTCTTATTGCCTAGGCCAGGACTTCTAATACAATATTGAATAAAAGTGGTGAGAGCAGGCACCCTTGTCTTGTTCCCGATTTCAAGGGGAGCACTCTCAGTCTTTCTCCATTAAGTATAATGTTGGCTGTTGGCTTTTCCTATCTGCCCTGAATCATATTGAGGAATTTCCTTCTATTCCAGTCTTCTTTAGGGTTTTCATCAAGAAAGGGTGTTGGATTTTATCAAATGCTTTTCCTGCATCCATAGAGATGATCATGTGGTTCTTTTTCTTTGTTCTGTTGATGTGGTGTATTACGTTGATTGATTTTCTAATGTTGCGCCATCCCTG